CTGCCCGCAGCCGCCGCCGCAGCCGCCGCCTGGGCCGCCCCGTGTCCCCGGTGGAGCCGCCGCCGCCGCCGCCGGGAGCTCGATGCGGACGGAGCCCGGGCCGGGCCATGGGGATCCTCAGCATCACGGACCAGGTCAGCCCTCCTGTCCTTGCCCGCTTCCTCCTTCCTGAGCCCGGCGCAGCCGCCACGCGAGCCCGGGGATGTGCGGCCTAGGCTGGGCCCGAGCCCGGGGCTCCCGCGGCTCCCGCCCCGCCCCACGCCGTGCTCCCCTCAACCAAGCCGGTGTCCTTGGGGGCCTGGCGACTGGCCAACACACCGCGGGAGTCCCCTGCAGCCAGGACCCCCGAGCGGAGCCCCTCCAGCGACGCCCCTCATCAAACCAGGTGTCCCCCCACCCCAGCCCCCCACTCCTAGTTCCGCTCCGGCCCGCTCTTTGAACGCTGGTTCTCCCTGCAGCCGCCCCTGGTCCAGGCCATCTTTAGCCGAGATGTGGAGGAAGTGCGTTCCCTTCTCTCGCAGAAGGAGAATATCAATGTACTGGTGAGTTGGGATCAGGGAGAATGATGAGCCAGTAATCTGGGCCCTGGTGTTCTGGACCCCTCCCAAACAGTGGGGCGGCTCCGTGGCTCCTTGGCTAGGATGAGGCCGCAGCACTTTCTACCCTGGGATGGGCGCCTGCTCTACATTTGGAGATGGAGAACAGGTCAGGCTTGAAGCATAGACCAGTGAAGCTAAAGATGCCCAGAAACGGTGTTCTCTCCTGAACCATCAGTGTTTGCAGCGCCCCCACCCCTCCTGGAAGAAGGAGACTGCTCACAGCCCCCTGGCCCTGACCCCTTGACTCCTGACTCTCTGACTCTGACTCTGCCCTCCCTAGGTTCTTGTTTTAATTTAGGATTGGGATTTAGGAGGCTGTCGAACCTATGGGAAGAGGTGGGGAAAGGCCTGGAGTTCTAAGACCGGGGCTGGGGTCTGTGATAGTTCAGCGTCACAGCCACTGCTCTTTTCTGCCTTCCCAGGACCAAGAGAGGCGGACCCCATTGCATGCTGCTGCCTACGTAGGCGATGTCCCCATCCTCCAGTTGCTACTGATGTCAGGTGAAAGTGGGGAGCTGGAAGGTGTGGCACATAGGGAGGGGACCTGAGGAAAGAGCCTTTTTTTTTTTTTTTTTTTTTTTTTGTATCTAAGAATTGTTCTCTGGTGTTTGGTCTGGGAGAGGCTTCATCTCTATCCATATCCCCTGGCCTGATTACTGGCTTCCTTCCCCACTTGCTCTCTACCTCCCACCAAAAGAGGAAATTATATCCCCATAGGTGCTAATGTCAATGCTAAGGACACACTGTGGCTGACCCCTCTTCATCGTGCTGCTGCTTCCCGAAATGAGGTATCGGCATCCTATGTCCTTTCACCCTTCCAAAAGAGGATGAGTTGGTTAAAGGTGGAAGTTAAGGATTGGAGAGCCTCAGCTCTCTGCCCTACAAGCTGATCTACCCCTAGGTCAGGATACTAGACCTCGGCCCCTCCCTCCTACCCCTAGAACTGGCTGGTAAGGGGGGGCTGAATGTTGCCAGCTGATGTGACGTCAGGGGAGAGCTTAACACTGGGCTGGCAGACTGCAGGGGGCCCTGCTGCCAGGCCCGAGTGACTCATCCTTCCCTGGGGGGCCACCTTGGAGTCTGATCCCCCTCTGGGCACTGAGATTTCTTACCTTGTGATGGAGGGATTGGGGGTAGTGATGTGTTGCCTTCCTGCCTCTCAAGCAGCATCAAAGTTGACAGCACAGGGGTCAAACTTGCCTCATCAATTGGGTCCATCAACCTTGAAGAGCAAGAGGAAAAGGAGACCTCCCTCTTGGTTTGATGGTCACTTCCCTGGCTCCATCCACCAGGGGGAGGGACTAAGGCCAACAGGAATAGGGTGTGTTGTGATTAGGAGGGACATTTTAGCCTGGGTTTTGGAGAGGAACCAGTATCTGTTCGCTTACTGAGGTAACGGAAATGATTTTGGTGACTATGGAAGGACTGAAGGAGGGTATTCGAGGCATTAAGGCAGGAGTGTGTATTTTTCCTAGAAATAGTGAAGGATTGGCATCCTCTACTTTTGTGGATTTGCTTGGTAGTAGCTATATGGTTGATCAGGGTCTGAGTTGGGGAGCGATACCAGGTGACTTGAGGAAAAGGAAGGGGTATTTTTTCCTCAGCAAGGTAGGGAAAATTTTAAGTTCTAGAAAGATCCAGAAGATGGGAAGTAGGTATTGAGAGGCTACGTATGTTGGAAAAATGAGAAGACACTCTGTGCTGGGGGGATGGGGCCACATGTGCCAGGCTGACCTATTCTTCCCTCCACTATTGTTTTACCTCCTGCTCCCCCTGTATTTTCTTTCTTATCCCCTGCTCCTTAACAGAAGGTGCTGGGATTGCTGCTGGCACATTCAGCAGATGTGAATGCCCGGGACAAGCTGTGGCAGACACCATTGCATGTGGCTGCCGCCAACCGGGCCACGAAGTGTGCTGAGGCTCTGGCACCCCTGTTGAGCAGCCTCAATGTGGCTGACAGGAGCGGGCGCAGTGCCCTGCATCATGCAGTGCATAGTGGGCATCTAGAGGTGAGGACTGCTCTAATCTGTGCCTGGTCTAGTGCCTTCCCTTTGTCTTTGCTTCCCTTCCCACTCATCTTCCTCTGCTTCTGGGTCATCAGGTCTGAGGAAAAGCAGCCTGGATGACTATATAAACACTTGGGCTCAAGCACCAAACGAATGGTCGGGTTAGATTGAAATTCTTGACTTGGTCTTCAAGAGGTTGATAAACTCTGAAGTTGCATGGAAAATGTTTGCATACATGCCTTTTTCTGAAGCGAGTGTCCATGTCTTTCAAAATGTTTTTGAAGATTATTCAAAAGAATTTAAGAACCACCAGCTCATGGGGTGCCCAAGTGGCTCAGTCGGTTAAGCATTCAACCCTTGATTTCAGCTCAGGTCATGATCTTACGGCTTGTGACTATGGGCTCTGGCCACATTGGGCTCTGCGCTGACAGCATGGAGCCTGCTTGGGATTCTCTCTCTGTCCCTCCCCTGCTTGTGCATGTGCGCTCTCTCTCTTTTTCTCACTCTCAAACTAAATAAATACACATTAAAAAAAAAAGAAGATGGGGCGCCTGGGTGGCGCAGTCGGTTAAGCATCCGACTTCAGCCAGGTCACGATCTCGCGGTCCGTGAGTTTGAGCCCCGCGTCAGGCTCTGGGCTGATGGCTCAGAGCCTGGAGCCTGTTTCCGATTCTGTGTCTCCCTCTCTTTCTGCCCCTCCCCCGTTCATGCTCTGTCTCTCTCTGTCCCAAAAATAAATAAACGTTGAAAAAAAAAAAATTAAAAAAAAAGAAGAACCACCAAATCAAATGAAAACACTCCCTTGAGTTTCCCTCAAACTTCCAAATCTCTCTGGGATCTCCTTCTTAGTCTCTGCTTTCTCTGTTCCTTCTAGTTCTCCAGATTGTTCTGTTCAAGAACAAAGACATTTGGGTGCCTCAGCCTTTTCAGGAGCTGAGGCTTCTGCCCTTAGGTACATTTAAAGCATGAACCTGGCTTAGGTACCTGCCCTTAGGTACACTGAAAGCATGAACAGGTGTGTTTCATATTCTGATACAGACGGTGAACCTGCTCCTGAACAAGGGAGCCAGCCTGAATGTTTGTGATAAAAAGGAGCGGCAGCCTCTGCACTGGGCAGCTTTTCTAGGTGAGAAAGGGTTCATGGGAAGAATAGGAATTTGACATTTAGGATTTCCCAAGGTAGGGATGGGGATTGCAGCCTTTGGAGAGAGACGCCCAGGGTCTTAGCTCACCCTCCACCCCCTTGAGAGCTTCTTCTCTCTTCCTAGGGCATCTGGAGGTCCTGAAACTGCTGGTGGCACGGGGAGCGGACCTCAGCTGCAAGGACCGCAAGGGCTATGGGCTTCTCCACACAGCTGCTGCCAGTGGCCAGATTGAAGTGGTGAAGTACCTGCTCCGGATGGGGGCTGAGGTCAGGGTGCTGAGCACTGGGGCTGGGCACTAAGGGCATGGAGTTGGAGGTCAGAGTCTGTGTATGGAGACATGATGGTGCTGGGATTGTTGGAGTGGTTTTGGGAGGTGGGCAGGATATGGTGAGATATGGTGAATAATGCTTACCGTAAGTAATAGTGCCCTCAGTCTATCGAGTCAGGAACACGAGGTATCTCAGGCAGTTGTTGGGATTCTGGGATTTTCTAGGTTATCTATGCCAGCTTCCACTTTGTTTAAACTGATACCTCCCTATCCCTTTACTTGTACCCCTGAAAATCCAGATCGATGAGCCCAATGCTTTTGGAAACACAGCTTTGCACATCGCCTGCTACCTGGGCCAGGATGCTGTGGCTATTGAGCTGGTGAATGCAGGAGCCAATGTCAACCAGCCGAATGACAAGGGCTTCACGCCGCTGCATGTGGCTGCGGTCTCTACCAATGGCGCTCTCTGCTTGGAGCTGTTGGTCAATAACGGGGCTGATGTCAATTACCAGGTGCCTGAAGGGATGAGGCTGCAACCTAGCTCTGGAGGTCCTGACCATATCTTCCCCTCTGCATAAGTCTGGGGAATTGTCCACTTGCCTCCTGGGTTGATCAGACCTTGTCAGGGACCCAGGAGAGTGTGGGCTGAGCAGATGTCCATATGACCACTCCGTCCTCAGAGATGTGTCCTTTCAAAGGGGGGAATAGGGTATTCCCTGTGCTTTGCACTGAAAAAAAAATTGCCATGTTTTCACAGAGCAAGGAAGGGAAAAGTCCTCTGCACATGGCTGCCATCCATGGTCGTTTCACCCGCTCCCAGATCCTCATCCAGAATGGTATGGACTTGGGAGACTTTGTGCTCCCTTCTCCTCCCTCCCCCGGAGAACTCATCCCTAGAAACCCTTTTCTTTCCTTAGTCTACCTCCCATGTCTTCCAGTCAGGATCGGCACTGAGAGCTCTGAGCAAGGCACCTGTAGAAATGGCCCAGGTCTGCATGCCCCATCCCCTGAGGCTTACAGACAAGATAACACATGTGGAATGCTTAGCTTGGGATGTGGCACATAACGAGCACTTGTGTGGTAGCTGACTGGTATGAGTGGTCTGGAGCCTCAGGTCTGCCTGAGTTTGTGTGTGTGCATCCCCTCACAGGCAGCGAGATTGATTGTGCTGACAAATTTGGGAACACGCCACTGCACGTGGCTGCTCGCTACGGACACGAGCTACTCATCAGCACCCTCATGACCAATGGCGCGGATACCGCCAGGTGAGTCAGGGCCCCTTAGATCTGTAGTGTCTGCTCACATCAAACGTGGAGGCACAAAGAAGCTTGCAAAAGGGAAGCTTGTGGAACCTCACTGTCTCCTAGGCTGGTGGGGGGCCACAGAAAAGAAGTCTGTAACTGGTCCCTCCTTGACTTAAGGACTGAGTTCCTCAACTTCTCTCCAGGCGCGGCATTCACGACATGTTCCCTCTGCATTTAGCTGTTCTCTTTGGATTCTCTGACTGTTGTCGTAAGCTTCTTTCCTCAGGTATGTGCTGACTGGTTGGGGGGTTGGGTACGGGTGGGTGAGTAGAGGCCTTTTCCCACTCTGTTCAGTGCCCTCAGATGGGATCTGTGCTGTTCTGGCCCTGCAGGTCAGCTGTACAGCATTGTATCTTCACTCAGCAACGAGCATGTGCTTTCAGCTGGGTTTGACATCAATACGCCTGACAACCTTGGCCGCACCTGTCTTCATGCTGCTGCTTCTGGAGGGTACGTTCTCTCACTTCCAGGTGCTAAGAAGAGATCTGGGCAAGGGTCTGGACCCTTCTCTGCTGCCCAGGTCTCTCTGCCTGTCACAGTGAGAGCAATCACAGCAGAAAGGGCTGACCAGTGCCATCCTTCCTTAGCCCCTCCCTGTGCCTGTGGCTCCTCTTTGAGGCTCTCATTCTCTTAACCCTCATCCTCCTTCCTTTTAGGAATGTTGAATGTCTTAATTTGCTGTTGAGCAGTGGAGCTGACTTGAGGAGGAGAGACAAATTTGGAAGGTGTGTCGATATGCAGCAGTAGGCACGGGGAGTGTCCTAAAAGAGAGATAAATGGTGGAGGGAGTGGTAGCAACTTGGAGACTAAGTGAGGAGAGTATTGCAGAGCAGCTTTAGGCTGCTCGTGTGGTTGCATTTGGGTCTGCCCTTGATTCTTTTATTCATTCTTTTCTCCTCAGGACCCCACTGCACTATGCAGCCGCCAATGGCAGCTACCAGTGTGCAGTCACACTGGTGACTGCTGGGGCGGGTGTCAACGAGGCCGACTGTAAAGGCTGTTCTCCCCTCCACTACGCTGCCGCCTCTGACACCTACAGGAGGTGAGACTCTCACTTTGGCCTTCTCAGCCCTGTTCACCTCCGTGAGCCTCCCCTGACTTCACTCTCTGTCCTCCAGAGCGGAACCCCACTCATTGTCCAGCCACGATGCTGAAGAGGACGAGCCACTGAAGGAGTCCCGCAGGAAGGAGGCCTTCTTGTGAGTAGCCGAGAAGACCCCTGGGATGTACTTTCCCAGCAGTGCCAGCTCTGGTCCCGTGATTCCCATCCACTCCCCGTCCTGCCACCTCATTTCTGCTGCTTGCTGTTAGCCAGCCAGCAGTGTATTGGGAGTGATCTGAGCTTAATCCTGGACTAAGCATTGTGGGTGAAAACAAAAGTATGAGACACAGTTCCTTCCCTCAGGGAACGGACGGTCTTCTTGAGACAATCAGAAAAACTTAACGCACAAAGCCTTTTATTTATTCCACAAGATTTAAGTGAGGATTTACCTATTAGGTACCAAGTACTGTGCTAGATGCTAAGGATAAAAGACAAATTACCCCAAATTTCTGCCTTTGAAAGCTAATGATCTGTTGGGAAAGATAAATGAAAGGGCACTTACGCTTTCTAATGTAGAATGTTAATGATAGAGAAGATGATGCAGAGTAAATGGGGACTGTGTCCTATGTTCACAGTTTGTCTATAAATCTAAAAGTGTTGTGAAATAAAACTTTTTTTTTTTAAAAAAGGATACTTACAATCCAAGAAAATCCAAGCTTTGACAACTTAACCTCTCTGTGCCTCTGTTTCCTTAACCATCATAAGGAATAAGAGTAGTAGCTGCCTTGTGGGGTCATTATGAGGATTAAATGATTTCATACACATGAAGTGCTTAGAATAGTGCTTGACACATAGTAAGTGCTAAATACTAGATTATTATTACTGCTAGTCGTACTATGCTATGAGAAGGGTACCAAGGGAGTACAGAGGAAGAGGCACCTCACTGGGAAGGTTAGGGAAGGCCTCAGAGAGGAGAGGATGCTGGGACCGAGTTTGAATGAGTAGGACTTCTTCTTCAGATGGGCTGGAAGGAGAAGGCATTCAAGGCAAGGGGTCAGCATGTCTGGAGGTAGGGGGAAGTGTCGATTGGCAGGTTGATAACATAATTATGCTCTAGGTTCTCTAGGAGAGCGTTCCAAGGATAAAGAAAGGCATTGGAGCCAGAGTAGTTCAGAGCTGATGTGAAGGAAGTGGTGGGTCTCAAGTGGAAGGGTCGAACAGGCAGGAGTTAGCCTTCCTAGAGCAGCGGATGGGTGTTGGCCAGCTAGGCCTGGAGGAGCTCCCTTGCACCTCTCCTCTGCTTTGCCCGCACCTGGGCCCTCACCAGCTGGGCCTGTCCCTGCCTCACAGTCTACCCCTGCCCCCCAGCTGTCTGGAGTTCTTACTGGATAACGGTGCAGACCCCTCCCTGCGGGACAGGCAGGGCTACACAGCTGTGCACTATGCAGCCGCCTACGGCAACAGACAGAACCTCGAACTGGTACGTGTGGGATCTGGCCTGGAGGAGAGGAAGCAGGGGCAGGGCTCATAGTCACCTTTGTGTCTGTGAATTCTGAAACCGAGGGGTGGTTGACTCAGATATGGTTCTAGGTCCAGGGGTGTAGGGCATTACTGTGGGTAGGGGACAGGGGATAACATTTTGGGAGTTTGAGAACCTCAGCGCCTACTCTTCTGTCCGTTGCAGCTCTTAGAAATGTCCTTTAACTGCCTGGAGGATGTGGAGAGCACCATTCCAGTTAGCCCTTTGCACTTAGCTGTGAGTCCCAGGTCTTTTCCTCTTGCCTTCCTTGTCCCTGCCTGCCCTTTGGTCCACAAACAGGTGCAAGCCTTTGTGAATCTATCCTGGCTTCTGCTTTCTTGGGGGGACGTGCCAGGCAGGCAGTGCCCAGGGTTGGGTGTAGTGTAGGTGAAGAGTCTGAGGGACCCAGGGAGCTCATGGGGAGGACTGCTGCCTGGAGTTTCCCCAGGGGGCCCAAGAGCAGAGTGAGGGCAGTGTCCCAAGCTGTTTCCATTGGTTACCTGCCCCCCTCCAGGCCTACAACGGTCACTGTGAAGCCCTGAAGACACTGGCTGAGACGCTGGTGAATCTGGATGTAAGGGACCACAAGGGCCGGACCGCGCTCTTCCTGGCCACTGAGCGAGGCTCTACTGAGTGTGTGGAGGTGCTTACGGCCCACGGCGCCTCTGCTCTCATCAAGGAGCGCAAACGCAAGTGGACACCCCTGCACGCTGCTGGTTAGTACCCCCTTAAGGCTGCTGGTACCTCCCCTTGCCACACCAGGCCTTGGAGACTGGTCCCAGATCCCTCCCGAATGGGATTGGGGTTGGGAGTGGAGCAGGGTGAGGAGAACTTCAAGTCCTGATTCGTGGCTTCCTATCCCCCAAGACTTCAGCCTGCCCCAGGTCCTTCCATGATCTCCACCCTGGAGTCCTTAATGCTTGACCTGGCTGCCTCCTTCCCCTTGACCATGCCCTGACACAGGCCTTTTCTCTTAGCTGCCTCTGGCCACACTGACTCCCTGCACTTGCTGATCGACAGTGGGGAACGCGCCGACATCACTGATGTCATGGATGCCTATGGACAGTGAGTGTGGGCCAGGGGTAGGATGCGGGTTTTCCTGTCCCTGCTGGCCCTCATCTGTCTCCCACCCCCTCTGTAGAACCCCACTGATGCTGGCCATCATGAATGGCCACGTGGATTGTGTCCATCTGCTGCTAGAGAAAGGATCCACAGCTGATGCTGCTGACCTCCGGGGCCGCACCGCCCTCCACCGTGGGGTGAGTGACCTCCTGGGTGGGGCTGCTCACAGACAGCCTGGACATGGGAGCACAGGACCCATCAGAAGTAGGACAGCAGATTGCCTAGCAGGTGGGCCAGGATTTTGTGCCCAGGGTCTTATTGGGTCTTACTACATTTGCTCCAGGATGAGTACCTGACATGTGTAGCTGATCTCTCTGATTCCCTTGCTTTGTAATCTCATACAGCCACATGCTCACTACTCACACTCTGCTCCAGGATACCCAGACTCTGGTCCTGGCCCACTGGATAATGATGCCACTGTCCCAGTCCTTCTCCGTGATCACCTGTCCCAAAGCCGTCTCCTCTTCATCCCAGGGGACTCTTTGATCCCTTAGTCAATTGCAGTTACCTTGCAATTTGTCCCCCCACTACTCCAGAGTGCCCGAATTCACTCTTGCCATTCTGGTTGTCTGTTGGAATAGAGAGAATGGAGGAAGGAAGGAGTCCTAACATTTAGAGTGGTTGCTGTGAAAATAACGATCGGAGCCCTGGAAGTGGTTCTTATGCCTGGGCCAGCTCCAGTGACTGGCTGTTTGAAAGGGAGTGGCCCTTCACCCTCCCTCACACCATCATGTCATCCACAGGCAGTGACTGGCTGTGAGGACTGCCTGGCTGCCCTGCTGGACCACGATGCATTTGTGCTGTGCCGAGACTTCAAGGGCCGCACCCCCATCCATCTGGCCTCAGCCTGCGGCCACACTGCAGTGCTGCGGACGCTGTTGCAGGCCGCCCTTTCCACAGACCCCCTGGATGCTGGTGTGGACTACAGTGGATACTCGCCCATGCACTGGGCCTCCTACACTGGTGCGGGCCTGGGGCCCTGGCAGCATAAGAACAGGGTTGCGATATGGGGGAGGACAGACCAGAACAGAGACCACAGACCCGTGGATTGAGGGAGGGACGTGGGTTAATCTTGATCTGGAAGTGGAATGGAGTGTCCCAGAGATGGCACAGGACAGATGTTGGGAACCTTGTCATCTCTCTCCACCCCCACGGCTCTTGCTTTCTCCTGCTCAGGACATGAAGATTGTCTGGAGTTGTTACTTGAACACAGCCCGTTTTCATACCTGGAGGGAAACCCCTTCACTCCTTTGCACTGTGCAGTGTAAGTCCCTTCCTGTGCCTCAGCCCCACTTGAGGTTCTGTGACCTGGGCTTAGGACAGGCATTCCATTTTTCTTGTCCTTCCTGTTGACCCTTCCTTTCCCCCCCAGAATTAATAACCAGGACAGCACCACAGAGATGCTGCTGGGAGCTCTGGGTGCCAAGATTGTGAACAGCCGAGATGCCAAAGGACGGTGAGTGGTACAAGGCTTAGGGAGAAGCCCCGGTCACCTCTGGCCTCCATTTTCTGCTCAGGTGAATGAGCCCTCTGTTCTCATTCTGCCCTGACCCCCACACTGCAGGACCCCTCTTCACGCCGCTGCCTTCGCGGACAATGTATCTGGGCTCCGGATGCTACTGCAGCATCAAGCCGAGGTGAACGCCACTGACCACACTGGCCGCACTGCGCTCATGACGGCGGCCGAGAACGGCCAGACCGCTGCTGTGGGTGTGTAGGGGCCACGTGTGGAAGGGAGGAGCTCCCCCTTGGGTTTTTGCAAGATGGGGCAGCCCTGCCTGTGGGGCTCAGGAAACAGGAGTCATGTATTTGGTTATTTCCCTCCTCTGCAGATGGGATGCAAAGTATATGCAGATGGGAGGGCCGGGAGCCATGAGGGCTGCTGCTCTGGAGGGAAGGCATCATTCCTTTGCCCCCTTTCTCTTGCAGAATTTCTGCTGTATCGAGGGAAGGCAGACCTTACTGTGCTGGATGAGAACAAGAACACTGCCCTCCACTTGGCTTGTAGCAAGGTGTGGCCTGGATTGGTGGTGGTGAGGGCCACGTAAGGGGGTGGGCTTGATGAAGGGGGTGGGTCTGCCCAGTTGGAGAGAGGACTGGAGTGGCAATCAGGATTGTCCAGCCTGTATAGCTTTTTGTCCCCTGAACCCTTCCCAACTCCTGCTCTATAGCCTGTCTGCCTCCACTCCATCTCTGTTCTTCTTCCTCAGGGCCATGAGAAATGTGCCCTCATGATCCTGGCAGAAACCCAAGACCTTGGCCTTATCAATGCTACCAACAGTGCGCTGCAAATGTGAGTTTCCGGGGAAGGGGGAGCCTGGCTAGGGGAGGCAGATGGGTAAGAAAGAGCCACATGCATTCTGGGGGCTCTCTAGAGCTCACAGTATCTGTTCAGCAGTCTTGCTACTCTGGCTGGGTGTGAAAAGGCAGCTTGGATCTCACTGATTTCTCGTTCTTTTTTTCCTTTCTTCCAAGGCCACTCCACATTGCTGCCCGGAATGGTCTAGCTTCTGTGGTGCAGGCCCTGCTAAGTCGTGGGGCCACAGTGCTGGCTGTGGATGAAGAAGGTGGGTGGGGTCCAGAGCCCCCCGCCTCTCCTGGGTTTGGGGTCAGGGACATTCTTCAGGAGGTGACTTCTTAACTTTGCTATAAACTGGGTTTTTTTCCCAGGGGAACTCTTCAGAGCAGGGACCCAATACCAATACGCTAGCATTTCTGAGGGGAATCTGACGGAACTAGGTGGAGCCAGTAGGGTCCTCAGGAAGACCTTCCACACACCTCAGTCTCCCAGACTTCCGTCCCCCGCACTCCACCCTTTACCCCACGCTTTGACAGTCTGCCTGTTGGTGCCCCTGGGCCCTCGTAGCCCTTGAATTCTGATTGTGCTGGGCTCTTGCCCACCTTGGCTACCCTCCACAGATGAGAGCTCAGGGCCTGGCAGAGGGTGGATGGGGCCCCGGGGGTACAGGACCCTGTGCCTCAAATTTCCCCCTCCACCCTGCAGGTCACACCCCAGCGCTGGCCTGCGCCCCCAACAAAGATGTGGCAGACTGCCTGGCCTTGATCCTCTCCACCATGAAGCCTTTCCCACCCAAGGACGCCGTCAGTCCTTTCAGCTTCAGCCTGCTCAAGAACTGCGGCATCGCAGCAGCCAAGACGGTGGGTGGCTGCGGCGCCCTGCCCCATGGGGCCTCCTGCCCCTACAGTCAGGAGCGGCATGGCGCCATTGGGTTAGATGGCTGCTATTCGGAGTAGCCCCCCATCAGTGTCCCTCCCCCTGCCGGTGGCTTGATATCTTATTCTATTTATTTAGAAAAAGTCTATACATTTAGGGCACTTTAAAGGAGAACACGACTGGGTGGGGGGGGACAGAGGGGGGAAAAATGCACTGGGGAGCAGCTGCTCACCCCTTTGCCACACCATCCTGGCCTGGCAAGGGTCTGGGACCAACAGGGAGCACCCCAGGCCCTTGGCACCCCCAGGGCAACCCCTTCTGCCAAGTGTCCCCAAATGATTGCTAAATGCCTGGCTACCCTCTCTTTTACCCCATCTCTCAGTTCCCCCTTTCTGCTGCCAACTCCCCCCACCCTTTCCTCTGTTTCTCCTCTTTGTGTCCCCCCGCCCCTGCCCCTACTGCCAGGCAGATCCCTTCTCTTCTTCCATACCCATCACTGCCTCCCTGCTCGGCTGGCCCCTCCATCCCCGCAGCAGTGAGAAGCCTTAATTTCTGGTACTGTGTGAGCACTCTGGGGGTGTCCCCCTCCCCCTTCAGGGGCAGCTAGTGGATGAGGGGGGAGGGTATTTAGCACTGGGGCCTGGAGCTTTTCCCCCACTTCTGTACCCCATCACCCCTAAAGTTCAAATGCAAAACACTTGAAGCAGCAACTACTGTACCTGGGCCCCAATCCTGCACTCTCCCCTGGCTCCTCATATGCAAATCAAGGGCTGGTTCTGCCCCCACAGCCTGCTCCTCCCTGATTCCCTTCCACTCCTGGCCTGGTCCCCTAACCACGCACTTTAACCTTGCTTCTTTCTTTTAACTTCTTTTGGGAGGGCAGAGCCTGTGGCCATTCCCTCCCTGGCTCCCCTCTCCCTTAACTTTGAGGCTTGTCATGAATTTTTAAGTAAGCATTTTATCCTTTAGGGGAAGAAACAAATTAATTTCCTGCCCATTTCAAGACCACAGCCCTAGAATGTCCTGTGTGTTTCAGGCATGTGTTTGCATGTGTGGGGAGGGAAGGACAATATTCTTTCTCCTGTGCCCCCCAAACCCATAGTTCCTCTGTACCCCCACCTTCCGTTATGTCCAAGAGTACCCACCGCCCCCAGTCACTCCTGATCTGAAGCCAAAGATGGTGGGAGGGGCAGGGCAGACTAGGGACCGTGGCTACTCGGGACCCAGGCTTCCCCTCTGGTGTGAGGATGAAGCTCTGATCTAGGTAGTGACGAATACACACTGAGGCTTGGTCCCTGCCCTCCCAGCAGCGGGGAAACATGGGATTGAGCTAGGGGCTGCACTGAGAAGATTCCTAAAAGTCGCACCCCAAAAGCCAAACTGGGCCAGAGTGAGGAGGGGGCAGTTTTCTCTCTAAATGTAGCATTGAATTTGGCCCTGGTCCCTTCAAACGCCCTGTCCATCCATCTCCCAGCTAAGCCTCCTGGACAGTTGGACCTGCTCCCATAGCCCAGTGTTCCCTTCCTCACACTCAATACCTCAGCCAGGGGCCAAGACACAGAACTTGAATAGAGGTCATGCCCCCTCCACCCCCACAGTGCATCCTTGCCCAGTTTGGCTGCCATCAGTATTGTCCCCTGAGAACTGGACAGGCTTTGTTTACACAGTACAGGGTCTCCTCCGGGGGATTCCTCAGTCTTCTCCCCTCCTACGCCCCCTCACGCTTGCTTTGTTCACAACCTCACCCACTTTTCAGTTGTTTTTCCTGCAAGTCTTGCCACCCTTGCCAAGGGTGGGCTGAAGGGGGAGGGGGTATCCCAGGGACCCCTGCCTCGCTAACAGATACCCTTAACCATACCTCATGCTGGTTCCCTGAAGCCTGGGGTGTTTGTCCAAGTCCTTTTTGTTTTTTTTGTTTGTTTGTTTGTTTTTTGGCTTTTTTTTTGTCATGGTCTCTTTTTATCCCCTCTGTCTGTGTCTTGCTTTCCCTAACCCTCAGTTCCTAAACCATTTCAAAGCTTCCAAATGACCATTATTGGTAAGAAGGATTGTGCAGCTTTTAGTTTTTATTTTTGTTTTCAAAGCCAAAGGGCCTTGCGATGCCCCTCTTGCCCACCTCCCTTCATACCCTGCCCTCCCCTATACGACAATCAATGTGACCTCTCTTAAGGGCTGCAGCCCCCCCCCCCCCCCCCTTTGGGGGCGGGGATTAGGGGGCGGGGGGGGGGGGGGGCAGGGGGAGCAGAGAGATGGATTCTCCAGAGAAGACTCTTGGGGTATCAGTCGTGTTCTCCTTTATCAATGTTTGGCGATGACAGGAAGATTCTGAGTATTTGTCAGGAGCCCCATTGTTTTGCTAGATGAGATTTCTGGTGGCTGCCTGTCCCCCTGCTGCCCCTTCAGCACACGGTCAGCAGTGCTGGGGCAGGTTGTGGGGAGTCCTCTGCCTCTCCTCATGTGGCTATGAGGAGGCGTGGAGGATGAGCAGCCTCCTCTCCTTATGCCAAAGGAAATCCCACACCCCACCCTGGGCTCCCCAGCCCCTAGTGTTTTTTGAAGCGTTTTGACCATTCTCATGGCGACTGCATATTTATTTTAATGTTAAGATTTTTTTTTTTTAAAACCTCTTTGACTTAAACGGGTGTGGAGAAGTAAAACAGGCAGAATGCCCCCCAATCTTAAGGGGGTAGGGTGGGGAGGAAACACCTCCTTCCCTTTGCCCTCCCTCTCCCCTCCCCCTCTCCCCACCGCAGCTCTAAAGCACTTGCTTCAAGTAATAAGCACTTTTGAGAAAAGGCCTATTTTAAGTGAGGACCCTGGGAGCAGCCCCAGGTCCCAGCAAAGGAGACAGAGCGAGGGCTACATAGGAGACAGGGAAACAGGTGTGTGAATCAGAGGGCGAGATAAGAGCCAGTTTTTAGTTTCTGATTTTGGGGAGATGTTTCTGATTGGGCGGTGGCTTTGGTAGGGTTGTGTACTATCCTTCAGAAAAACAAATGGCACAAACTGTGGGTCCCAGGATGGGCCAACAAACCCGGGTCACTGCCACTGTCCAACTGAGACTGATGGGCCACCTCCCCCACTGTGGCCCCCTGAGCCATAGGACTGCTGAAAACCACTGAATGTACAGCCCAGGTTGGGGTGGGGAGCAGCCCCTGGGGGAGGGGGCTTCTCCTTCTGTTTGGTGCTGTGGGGGGTGGGAGAGATGAGACTGAGGGACTGCCACCCCACTTAGACATGTGTTCCTTGGGGTGGAGGGGCTGAGGAGGGTCTACCTCCCTCTCCAACCCCGGCATGGCCCCTCTTCCTTCCTCATCCCTATCCGTTTTGACTGTAAGTCCAGCTCACCTTTGCCTTCAATATGTAACCAAAGGAAAACTCAATACTGTTTCCACCGCTGTCTGCCCACCCGAGCACCTTCTTACTCCCTGGACCTTAGAAGGGGAGAAGGGGCTGGGGGTGGGGTGGGGGGCGTGGGGCCAGAGTGAACGGTTCTACAGCTGTATCCCCCAAACCTCTCGGGTCTTGGAAGGGACCCTGAGAGGTGAGGCTGGGGCCTGGCTGGAGGGACTGGGAATAGGCACACTCTGTATCTTGTGCACATGAGTGTTTCTTCGTCTGAATGACTCCAGTGACTACGCTCCAGCAGGGAGGCCCCTTCCTCCTTCCCTCTCCACCGTTTCTCCCCCTCTCCCCACACCCTGTGTTCATCCCCACCTCCCCTTCCCACCGCAAAGGAAAATAGCCTTACAGACCCTAGCCCAGAAGCCCTCCTCCTGGGGCAAACCAATATGGGGCCCCATCCCGCCTAGTTTGAACCCTACCTTTTAAGAAGGAGGGATAAGGAGCAAAGCAGCCCCTTCCCCTCTAATCGTGGTGGCTCCAGCCCTCCGTGGCCTTGACCCAGGTTGGCCAAGGGCGGAGGCAAGGAATCTTTGAGGACCAAGCCCAGTGATCTGGGAAGAGGGAGGTGGAGAGGGAAGGGCCTGACTTGGGGACTCCCTCCTCCCGACCCAACCCTAGAGAAGCGACCAAATCCCAGAGATGGGAGGAAGCTGGGGTGGGGAGGGTCTGCTCTATGAATTACTTGAAGGTACTGACTCCGAGGCTGCTGTTGCCCACTTGGGTGTGAGGGGGACACTGTCACTGCATTTGGGAGGGCAGAGGGTGGCGGGTGACGAGAGCATCTGCCCTTGGCCCTCACTTACTCCTGCTAGGCCCTTTCCCTGGGGAGCCTGGCTTTGCCCCCAGGGAAATCGGGGAGAGCCTTCCCCTCCCATCTCCATCCCTCACTCTGGGCACCCTCTCCAATTGCACTAAAGTAGCTGTTGTGCCAGTCTTACCCCCACACCAGGGTGGGGTCTCTGCTTCCAGTCCTTTCTCCCCTGACTGCCTCCACTCCTGTCCCGGACAATCTCCTTGTTCCCCTGTATTCCTGGATAGCTCAGCTTTGTATGTGTGTGTTTTGGGGGTGGGGGTGGGTTCTGGCTGGAGTGGGTTCGCTAGGGGTTTGGGAAGGGCTAGGGGAAAGATGGAGGACAAAGTCTCCTACCCCCTTCCTCAACTCCAAGCCACAGAAACCTGGGAGGGAGGGTGCCTACTCTCGCTGCCGTGTGTCTTGCAGATGTGCCAAAATGGGGGTGGGGGGGAGGGGAGGGGAGGGTGCCTGGCAGAGCGGCCCCCAGGGTGGCTCTCTCAAAGCAATACAGTTCCTCCTGCCTGGGGGACGGCAAGACAGGGGAGAGGGTTGGGTTAGGGACCTGGGGGTTCCCTGTGTACAGCTGTGTATATTCAGGGGTGTTCTCTGTCTGGTACCCACTGTGGGCGTCTATGTGTGTGTGAACCTCCCCTTCCCTGTGCCCTGCATGACCTGTGATGCTGCAGACACCACCATCCTGTGTGCAGGGGTGTGTTGGGGGCACCGAGGGGCATGTTTCATGTCCTGTTGCACCCTCCACCCTGTGACCCATGTACTCGGTTGTAGGAAGTAAAGAGAACTGAGCACAATTCACTGGATTCTAGTTGAATCTTTCTCTAAGCAATTTTCCCGTTCTTGCCCTTTTCCCTGCCCCGGATCCACCTGTGGTGCTAGCGTTGGGGTCAGGGGTGTTTAATGCTGGTGGGCAGCAATAAAGGGCAGATCTGCCCAGATGCCTGTATCCCCAGGGTGCTGAGGGCAGCAGGAAAATGTGGGGACCTGGCGGTGCATTTGCCCCACCCTACCCCTCCTCCCTGGGCTAAAGCACAATGCGCTCCCTGCAGATTGATGCACCTTGCACCCTCCAGGCCCCTGCTCATGTCCTCCCCCGACCTGCTTTGAGCCCTCCTCCCACCACATCCTGGTTTTCTATGCTGTTTTGGTGCAAGTACAACTGTCGTAGTCATGGCTTTGGGATGGGTTCTGTTTATTAAAATCCTATTGCTCCTACTGGCCCTGTGTCCCGCCTCCATTCCTGTGGTTGGGGGGAAGGAAGGGCAACCTGGCGCCTTTCCACTGGCCCCCATCAGCCATCAGAGACCAGGGGCCATAGCTGCTCCTCCAGCATGGCTATGGTGAGCATGAGGCTGCCCCCCAGCAGCAGCCCCAACCCCTGCAGTAGCACATGGAGCGTAGGGAGGGGCTCGGGAGGCCGAAGCAGGGCTGGTAGCTGAAAGAAAAAAAGAGCATCAGGATCCTGGCATTGTCTCTGCACCACCCCACGTCAAGCATGAGAAGGAGTTGTCAGAAAGTACTGGCAACCCCTCTGAACTCTTCCAGGCCCTTGTTTCTCAGACTCCACCCAGCCTGGGTCCAGCACCTTTCCAGGTAGCCGGTGGTGGAGGCGGAAGGACCCATACGTCCCCCTCTGCTGAACCCACCTCCCTGCCTCCCTTGCTTTCCCTGCACTACCCCACACCTCTCACCATATCCACAAGGGCCACATAGAGGAAGACCCCAGCAGTGACCCCAAACACCCAGGAAGTGAGAGGGACAGGGCCCAAACTGAGCCCCACCCCCAGGGCTGCACCCCCTAGTCCCAGGGCTCCAGACACCAAACTCAGCAGCAGCAGCCTCCGAAAGGGCAGCCCTGCTCGGAGCAGCATCGCAAAGTCACCTATGAGGAAGAGACGACAGGGTGGGAGGGAATAATAAGCCAGGGCCATCCCTCACCCCTGTCACCTGCCAGCCTCCTAAATTCCACCCGTTGGAGGCCTCTCCTTTCTAGAGTCCACCCCACCCCACTTCTGCCATTCCTACCCAGTTCATGGGGTAGCTCATGGCAGAAGACTGCTAGGGTGGTGCTGAGGCCACTGGAGAAGCCATCGGAGAAGGCAGCACCTGGGGTTGGCAGGATTGGAGGTCGTCAGCCTGGGAGAAAGCTCTCCCCAGGGGCACAGGGGCCTGCATTCCCTTCCCTCCCCCACTTCCTGGTAGCCCTCTCCTCCCATCACACCTATGGCTAGCCCATCAGTGAGGTTGTGCAGACCGTCTCCCAGGAGGACCATCCACGTTATATTGGCATCACCGCCACCCTGGTGCCCGTGACTGTGGCCTTGGTGCCCAGTAGGAGCTGGGGCTGGTGGGGGCTGGCTGTCCTGCTCCCCATGGCAGCCCTGAGCTTCTGGCTCTGCAGGAAGGACAAGAACAGTGCCAGTGGCTGCAAGTGAGAACCGGGAGCTGGGAGCCTACTCTTCATTTTCTCTTCTGGTTACCTGGAGCTGCCTGCAGGGGCTGAAGGGCCATCCCACTGCCATCCTCCAGGTCCAGGGCTGGTGCTCTGAAATCCTTTCTTTTTCGCCTGCAGCATCTCTGAAATGGGAGGGTATCCCTCCTGGTGGAGGAGGCAACAGAGCCAGGGGCTAAGGAGAGGCCTGGCTACCAGCTGGGAAAGTGAACACCTGGGTTCACCTCTGGCACTTGGAGATATTTTTTGGCTTTTCCGCTCTCTTCCCAGGTTGGCACTCCTTGTTTCTTGTTGACTTGAACTTGGGAGAGGAGGCCGCTTGGCCAGGAGTCCCAGGTCTATGCTAAGGAGCCCCCTACCCACTCTCTGTTAGTTGTCAGGACTGCACACTCAGGAAAACATCAGCGCACCAGGAACACACCCCACACCCTCACCTCCTGGCTTGCGTGGCCAGTTCTTGGCCAGGACTCTAGTTTTGGCAGGAGGAGGAGAAAAGGGTATCACTCACTGGCCTGAGCCCTCTGTGCCGCAAAAGCCCTAGCACGTTCTCCAGCACAAAGAGCAGGAAGAGACCTCCGAGTACCGACAGTCCTGGTCCCAGGTCCTCCTCTGGTTGTCCGTTAGGTCCAGCATGCTGCCCTCCTTGTGCCTGACAGAGAGGGGGTCAGGGCAGACCCCAGAAGCCCTCGCACCCGACAACATGCCCCTCCTGTGTGGGACGTGGCAAGCCTTCACTCGCTACTAGAAGGCAGCTGTGGGCTGAAGCTGAGGTTGGGGAGTGGCGCGTGGGATCTGACAGGAATGAGGAGGGGATGTCCTGTGACTGGGAACACCTTGGGTACGTGGAGGCTGCCCATCACGGGGCAGGGAGCAAGGAAGGGGCTTCACGTACATGTGGCAGCAGGTGTAGCAGTGCATCCCCACAAAGAGTGCCCACGGCCAGGGCCCCCAGGAAACCCAGCAGGGGCCGTAATAGACGAGGTCCCAGGAGCCGCAGCAGCAGCAGGGAGAGGGGAGCAGGGAGGCTGAGCAGCAGGACTGCCAGGGCGCTATGAACCAAGGCTGGGGAGAATCAGGGACTGAAGTTAGGCTAGGGTTGGAAGGAGGGCCTCAGAAGAAATGCAGGGCAGAGATACACTGCAAAGGGAGGCAGGACCCCGACAAAGCCATCTTGCTTGGCCAGGGGCCTACTCCCTGCCAGGGTTCAAGGCACCCTGCCACCCACTCTCACCCACTGACCAGACAGAAGATCCCCTGAGGGGGTTGGGGTTGGGGCCTGGATGCAGACACGGCTGTCAATCTGATAAAGCAGGGCTGGACACAGCAGAGCAAACTGACGAGGGGTCAGAGGAGCAGCAGGGCTCAGGCCAAAGTTGACCAGCAGCTGGGAGCCATTCAGACACTAAGGGAGTTGAGTTAGAGGTCATATATTGGGGCATTGCTGAGAACTGTGATCTTTAATGTCTGTCCTTCCATTGTATGGATTCTTGGGTCTCTCCAGGATCCCCTTTGCTTATGCTGGCAGGTGCATCAGGGACTGGGGTGGCTCCACAGGATCAGTGTGTGTTAATTATTAGTGGATATTCAATCCAGTGCAAATATTCAATTCAGTGCAGGTTGGGTGCTAGTAAACATTGCCACCATCTCTCTCCCTCCCAAGCTCCTGATGATTTCAACGATTTGGTGATGGAGTTGGTTGGACAACTAGAGCACTCCATGGCAGAATCTTAGAAGGGAAAGAATCTGAAATGCCATCCAACTTCCTCGCAACAGCCCTGTTACATGTTCATCCAGGCTTGGCTTGAGTGCTTCCTGTGATGGGGTGCCCACCCTCACCAGGCCTGCTTCACAGTTAGCTTTGGCTGCCCTCTGGTGTACATGGGACACGTTCACTGCCTTTCTGGCTGAAGACAGCCATCTACTCCCTGCAGGTTTCCTCTCCAGATAGCCAGCCCCAGATCCTACCCTCAGCTACTTCTCTGGATTCTCTGCTTTGCCACCAAGTGTGGCCCCTAAACCTGTCCTTGGAGACTTGGGTGTGGGTTCATGTGCGCTGAGCCCAGAAGAAGCGTATTTCACTCTTGGAATAACATACCCTAAGATCACATCTGGATTGTTGTTTTTTTTTTTTTTTTTTTTAATTAACTATATTAAATTACTCTTTAAACAATTTCAGGCCATCTAAATCCCATAGTCCTTCTCCCCCCAACTCCCACCCTGGAGATCAACAGACTCACATCCTCATTCAGATGGTCAGCCAATGAATGGTCCAGCAGCAGAAGTCTGTGAAAGAGGTCCAGGCCAGAGGGGGCTGGCCCACGGGGCGATGCTGGGGCCTTTGGCTCCTCTGGGTCACCCCACTCTGAGGGACCCAGAGGCAGCCCAGCCCAGACATCCACACTCAGCTCAGGGTCCTGTGATCTGGAGCAGAGGGGATAGCAAGCCAGACTTACTCATGTTCTTTAAGAAACTCCCCTTGAGGTTCCTAGGGTGCTTAGGGGGAAAGGGAAGACCAGCCACTAGCTTGAGTTCCTGGGACCCAGAAATCGTGGAATGTCAATTCTAGAAGGATCTGAGAATTGTCAATTTATAGGAGAGTCTAGGAATGAGGGGTGTGAGGGTAAGAGAAATGGGGCTGGGGGGAGAGCAGCCAAAATGCTATAAATTGGGAGCCGAGTCAGCCTGGAGACATTGAGCACTGGGACTAAGAGCAAAGAATTGGAGGGTCCGGGGATCTGGAAGAGTAGAGAATTAGAAAGCAGTAGAGGCAAAGGGGGCCTTGAAGGAATACTAGGAGTCAGATTTTGAAACATTTGTAATTCCAGAAATCTGACTTTAGGAAGCTAGAGGTTGGCAACTGGAGACTGATCCAAGCACTGAGAAGAGGTGGGCATGTGGCATTTTGGGGTAAGGGAAGGAAGGGTTAGTAGTACCTGTATGTGGAATTGTCTCCAACTGGGGGTATAGCCCGACCAACCGGAGGTCCATGGTGTCCTAGGCGAAGTCCCTGAACTCGGCCTAGCCCCAGGCTGTGGAGAAGCCGCGCTAGGCCCCCGGCTGTCAGTGTCCCATTCTCCCCATACAGGCCAAACAGCTGGGCCAAGTAATGGTTCTGCTCCTGCTCAGCAGGGCCCAGGTTGGGGGCTGAGCCCCCTGCCAAGCCCAAGGCCACCCACACACACAGGCCAGCCAGCAGATGACTCATTGGGGGCCCCATTATTGGGGGCAATGGGTTAGAGGCTCTGGTTCTGGCTTCTATTCCCCTTGGAACATCCTGAGGACTGTGCCCTGGAAGAACAAGGAGAAAGGGCCTGGGCTTCTGCTCTGCTGTCCAGCTCAGGCCTTCTGTTTTCCAGTTTCTAGAACACCTTCCTTGACCCAGAATGCTTCCCTCACCTGATCCAGAGCTGACTTCTCATCCTGTCCTCCAAACTCCACCCCTCAACCCTGCCTCACCTCTCTGTCCCCTTCAATCCACAGGGCCTCACCCTCATTGGCAGTGTGAGAGTCGTCACCTCAGGTCCCGGTCAGGCCTTATTGTGGACACTAAGAGGTTCCTGAGTCAGGGAGGGGAGTGGGGCTCAGCCTCCAGGTGCCCTGGTGGAACGGAGGCCACGTCAGATAGAGGGCTGGGATGGACAAACGCCGCCCCCCTCCCAGCCCACCTGCCTTGGGGCGGGGTCAGGGAGGGGAGGGGCCAGTGTGGGAAGGTTCACATCAGAGAGGAGTTAATGGTTCACTGGTCTCTGGGGTGGGGGTCAAAGGTCAGTCTTGGCTGGGGCCCCTGAGTAGGGAGGGGCCACCCTCTGCCCCTGGAAAAGCCACATGGCTAAGGAAACCCTGAGCCTGGCCTTTTCTTCTAAATAACTCACCCCACTAAGCCAGTTGTACCATTTTAACCTTTCCCTGCATATACTCTCACCCCCACCCTCCACACCTTATATCTGGTACTGGGCTTCCTCCATCTCCAACCTCCATCCCCACAATCCCCGGGAAAGTGGGATTCAGGTGTCCCTTAGCTGGAAAAGAGGCGAAGAGGAAGATAAGTGGCAACCCCAGGTGCATGGGGAGGAAAGCGTTCTTAGCAACTCCTTGTCCCAGCAGAGTAAGAGCCAGAGCTCTGGAAATAGATGATCAAGAAAGGGGAAGCCCTGGTGGGAAGAGGAAAGAAATATCTGGGCTCCCTGCAGATGTCTGACCTGGCTTAAGATCAGGGGAGCACAGTCTGATTAGGGCAATTAGTCCAGGGGGCCCGAGGTTTTGGCATTACCTGACAGCAGGAGACTGGAAGGACGCCCAGAGGAAGGGGGACACAGCCTTCTTGGCTCCAGCTGTGGGGGGGTAGGCAGGCAAGCGGGCAAGGGTCACCTGCAGGGAGGGGGCAGGGGAGGGACACTACCTTAAAGGGGCAGGCCTGCTTTGCCTAGGCTTCCTTACCTGTAACTTGTCTTCCTTCTATCTCCTAGGGACACCCCACTTTCCCACATGTCTGACTGCTAACCTCTTCGTTTTCCCACGAAAAGCAAAGGAGTCCAGTACAGAGTGGTAACATTTATTAGGAAGGAGAGATTCGATTTGATTTCCACATCACACACACAAGAAACAGACTGTGACTGTCGTTTCTAAAGGGAAAGAGGGCAGAGGGCCTTGAATCCCCGGGGATAGGCAGATCTAGCTGGGTAAGGCAGGGAGCATGGGCTTAGGGTGGATAAGGCCAACTGCTCACCACCCCTCCAGTGAAATTCAGTGGATAAAATACTACTGCCTATCCACTCCCACCCCCCACAAGCCAGCAGCCTAGTAAAAGGCTGTGTTCTAGGAGACACTTGGGCTATAGTGGGTGGTGGGAAGGGAGGAAGAACGTCTTGCTATCTCTTGCTGCTCCTCCGGGTCTCTTTGCCGTTACTGACAGGGTTGCTGGAGGGGCCAGGAGGGCCGGCAGCTGTGTGGTTGGGCTGGCTTCGGGTAATTCGGGTGCTGGGAGGGTGCGAGGGTGCGTGAGGCGGGTGCGGGCCACCACCAGGACCTGGTGGGGCACTCAGTCCATTCCCGTTCTGGGTCTCAGAGGCTAGTAGTGGGAGAAGGGGAAGAAACACAGGAATTAGAAAACTAAGGTAGGAGAGAGGTCCATCCCCAAGGCCTCCCTCTGTGCCCTAGAGAGTAGCACAGTCTTCATCAAGCACAGCGGCACATTCAGGCCAGCTGGACCAGTTGCAAAGAGCAGGGGTTGTACAAATGGAGCCCTGAGAAGACTCAATCATTTGGGAAGTTGCTATGTGAATCCTAGTGTGATATTCTTCTCTTCCATTCACCTTTGTATCATGGAGGTCAGACCTAGCATTCGCTGTTTAGCTCTAGGCTTAAGGACCTCTGACAAAATGCCCCTTTGTCGAAAGTCTTTGTAAAACTGGAGAAGCATGGGAAGGGGAAGGACCCAAAGCTTCTGTGTTATGTAAGAAGCAGCTTTAAAAAAGGAAAGTGTGGTGGGTATCACGATGATACATAAATTTTCATTTTGGAAAATAAAGATAGGAATAGGGAAAAAAATATTACGCACACCCTCAAAATGATAAGTAACATTTTGGTGTATATTTCACATGTTTGATTGGAGCCAGGTGTGTGAGATGATTTCCTTGAGCTCCTACAACTGTGCACATCACTACCCTTGCCCCTACCAGTGTGTCATCTGTAGGACCATCTCCTTTATAGACTACAAGCTCCTAAAGGCAGGTGCTGTGTTTTTATTCCTTGGCATTCCTCATCTATGTTTGTCAAATGAAGACAGAGACCTGCCTCTCTTATACAGAGGGCACTATGAGCCCTAAAAGGGGCAGAAGTCATAGGCTGGTGATTCTTAAGCCACATATCTGCTTGGACCCAGGCTGTTCCACCAGACTAAGATATCTGTTGCCAGAATGGAAAAATAATGCCTTTTCCCCAATTCACAGAAAAAGTTAGGAGTACATAGGGAATTAATGTTAAGTTCTTACGCCAGACATGCTTTTTATTAAGACTTTTGCACCTGTTAGCAGATAACAAAGTGAACAAACATCTGGCAAATGAGCATTAGGGCCAAACAGGCTTAAATGTACCTTATTTAAAATACTTTTTATAAGTTATAGTTATGGAGACCTGGACATATGTAACAGTCATATTTTCCAGTGAAAATATGGATGCTGATTTTTATGGTGGAATTAAATGTTATTTCATGGTGTTTCCAAAAAAACCATGATCCCAGTGGTTCTGACACAAACAATTCTGAAAACCATGGTAACTAGGGATGTAGACACAGACTGAGCAAGGGTAGAAGCAGCCTGAAGCCTAGTGTCACAGGGAGAAACCTAAGACACAGATCAGAGGCAAGAGGAGTCGAACACCCAGGCAGTAGTAGGCTCAGCCGGGAGATTACCCAGAAGGAGAAAAAGACCAGTGAAACCCAGTTCCTAAAGAGAAGCCAGGGGACAAAGGAGGTGGTGTTGGTGGGTGATTCTAATCAAAAGCAAGAGACCAAAAAACAGGGTCTTGGAGTAGATCAGATGGAAGAATCATAATCCTGAGGTCCACAGGCTAGAAGAAGGGTCTTTAGTTTCAAGAAGAGTGGTGACTCCCCAAAGGGAACTACTTGGTGCCCTAACTCTGTACAGTGTAGACTGCATGTTAAGTCATATACATCCATGTTAGAGCCATGTAATGAGTCAAAAGGACAAGGGGGAAAGGGCAAGGACCTGCCAGAGAAGAAGCAGAGAGAAACAAGCTTGAATAAAGGAGTGCAGTCTTGTTGGATAAACTGTTTTCATTTGTGTCCTTGAGTGGTAGTGGCAAAAGAGTACCAGAGCTCTATCAGTGACAGAAACAGGTCCCCAAATCTTTTCCCCACAAGGACTTGCAAAAGAACTGGGAGAATTAGGTGGAAGGGGATACATGGAAAGAAGACAAATTGGGAAAAAGGATGAGGGCAATGCATCTTTCCATGCTAGGGAGAGAACCAGCGGATGGAAGGGAAAGGTTTACCTGGAGAAACGGCAGGGGGTCCGGTGGTAGGCTGGGGAGCCGTAGGGCTGCTGTCGTTCTGGACCTGAAGGCACAAATTAAATACTCAGACCTTGTTCCCTACCATGCTTCTTGGCTGGACATACCCTCCTTCCCCATACCAAGGCCATGGGACTCACCGTCTTATTGGGTGCCTGCTGGGCACTGTACTCTGGGTTTGGCTCACTGAAGTTAGGAACCTCAGAATAAACCATACAGAATCTGCAAAGGGAGAAATTAGTTGAAGCCTCAGACCCAGCCTCTGGAGGCCTGAGAAAGGTCTAGATACAAGACATGGACTATATGCCCTTATGCTGGCTGGTGCTTCTGCATCCCAATCCCCAAAACACTTACTCTCCAATCTTTTGAAGATCACCCCCACGTCCAGTGTATAGTGTCAGACAACCTTTGAATACTGAAGCGTACCTGTGGGGGCACGAAAAGTAGGACTCAGAGTACTCAGAAGAGTTATAGGGACTGTTAACTCTAACCCCCTTGACTGTTACTAGCCTTGGATAGCCAGGAATAACCAGGAGTTACCCTTTGGTGAGCCGAATAATGTCTCCAGGCTGGATCAGGTTGCCCACGTCGTCCCACACAGAGATATTGATGCTGCCCGTTTTGTCGGCCACCTTGCAGGTCCGAACCTCGTGCCCGTCCTTTGTCTTGGTCACTCGGCCTGGAGGGAACAGACAAATGTTGGGGTGGAGGTGAAGAGAGGGTCAGAGGGATGAGATCTAGATATGGGTGGGTGAGGGGGAGTGGAGGGACAGCACCATGGAGAGGGCACTGAGTGGAAAGAGGCCTGAGTGGCGCTGGAGGCTTGGATCTGGCGAGGTCCATCTACTCTGCACTCGACTACAACTCTCCAGGCCAGGGTGTAGGAGATTCCGCGTAAGCAGCGTTTTGGGGTGCACCCTGACATCCCGGTAGCTAGTTAACAGAGGAGGTGATGCTCTTCCCCTCCTGCCCCCTCCCCAACCCTGAGAACCCCCGCACAGGGGTCCCACCATCCCAGAATAGCCACCTGTCTCCAGCACAATGAAGATGAGGTTCAGATTCTTGAGCCCAGGCTTGATATCTTTAACGAAGGTCTCCGTCGTCATGCTGCCCGAGCCTCCGCACTACACTAGAAGGGGGAAAGGGGAATGATGGCTCAAGGCTTGGAGTCTTTGCCCTTATGCTCCATTTCCCAAGGCCTACCTACCACACTAGGCTGGGGTCAGGCAGCCGCAAATCCTCTAATTCTTCTAAAAGGTTATAAACCAACTTCCCCAGGAGCCTCCAACTTCAAGATCAGAATTTCAGGGTCTCTGTATAGGCTGCTTCGGGACTGGAAGGCCCCGTCCCGGGATGCTCTTTCAGTCTCAAGCCCAGAAGTCGGGGAGCCGACGGAGACGGGGGGGGGGGGGGGGGGGGGGCGGGGGGGGGTAGGGAAACTGGTGCAGACCCAAGGAATGGAATCTTACTCGCCAAACCTTCCCGAACCCTCATCCGGACAACTCAGGACTCGGTCCATCCCCTCCCCCGCCCACAGCCCACCACCCACCACCCACCCAGCCCGCAGGCCAGACAGTGCACACAGCAGAGCCGCCCGCAGGGGGAGCCACAGGCCCCGCTGCCGCCGGATGCGGCGCGGTGGAACGCGGGAGTACGGACATTCTCGGAAGTTTCCGGCTGGCCGCCTCCGACCAATCAGCACTGTCCCGGCGCGCCCCGCGCCCGCCGCTGGACCCCGCCCAGCCAACCGGGATCCAAGATCCACGCGCCGCAAAAGGGGCGGATTTTAGGTATTAAAGGAGCCTGGTAGGTGGTTGGCTTGGCCAGGAGAAAGATTGACCACCAGGAGGCGCCTCGAGTCCCACTTTTCCTTTCCTTTACTGGGAGGATGTACCTAGGCTCTGAAATTTTCAACTTAAGACATGACACTGGAGAAAGGACCAGAGGTTTTGGAACACGGTGGTCAAAAGTCTGAAACAGGCTCCGCACTTGTTTTCTCGACAATTCTTAAATATGTAATTGCATTTTGCATACAAGAAAACGTAAGTTATATAAAAGGCAGTGCTTAGCACGCAGGTACTTTCTTTTCCCACTGCTATAATCCTTATCTCTATTCCTGATTTGGGGTCCTCATTTTTTTTTTTAATTTTTTTAACATTTATTTATTTTTGAGACAGAGAGAGACAGAGCATGAACGGGGGAGGGTCAGAGAGAGGGAGACACAGAATCTGAAACAGGCTCCAGGCTCTGAGCTGTCAGCACAGATCCCGACGCGGGGCTCGAACTCACAGACTGTGAGATCATGACCTGAGCCGAAGTCGGCCGCTTAACCGACTGAGCCACCCAGGCGCCCCTGGGGTCCTCATTTTTAATGCAGGACCCAGCGCGGTCAGGGTTTTGGAAAAAGTGGCCTTCACACCAGAGCCAGACACCCTTTTTGAAAGAATGGAACCCGGGGCACAGAGAACAGCATTTGCATTAGTCTCTCCCAGAGTCTGAAAGACACCTCTTCCTAATGTACTTATCTCACTAGATCCCAGGGTCTGGCCCGCCTCCTCTCCCAGACCCCAGAGGATTTAACAGAGGTGGCCCAAACCTTTAGTTCCCCTTGGGACCTGTTAGAAAATCAACAAAAGGTTCTAGTTCTGTAATGTTGTGTATAAACCAATTACATATGTACAAAGCACTACCATTTGTTTAGCGAATATCCATAACAAATACTGTTTAATATCAGATTAGCTTAAGAGGTCATGTAGTTGTAATGCTTTGGTTTAATTAATCCCTTACCTTCTAGAGAGCTTTAGGCTCCGCCTTGATTTTCCTCGGATCCCAGGTTCTCTCCTGCCCACACCCCTCAACTACGGTGTCGTATCCCAGGGAAATCAAGGCACAACCTAGGAAGAGGGACATTTTATCTCCCTTCCCTGCCCTTGGGTGCTTCAGGGAACTCTATGAGTGTCCGGAGAGCCAACGTAGAAACAACAGGAGTGCGGCGAGGAGAGGTAGGGAACCCGTTGGGCATCTTAGATTAAAGCTTTGCGTTTAGACACTCCAATTCTCCACCCGTGGTCGCCGTATCCACTCCCGTGACTATAAGTCATAGGTTCGGGAGGCTCCGGGATGCTGACCACCACTCTAGTAACGGGAGATGGCAGGTCACACTGCAGGCCAGCCTCCTCGCAACGATCTCGCATCTCGTGGCATCAACTTTAAGAGATGGGACACGTAGACCTCTCCAAAGCGAAGCCTCTGCCTCCCGGGAGCCAGCCTCCGGCTCCGCCCCCAACACTCATGATGGGAAGAACATAGAGTTCTCCCTCCCAGATGGCTATATAGTCCTCGTTGGGATCATAAAGATTTCCGGTGTAGAGAGGAGGCCCGGCTAACCTTCCTCCCTCCTCGTTGGTCGCTCTTGGCGTCTAGTCTAGGTCCGAGTTAAACAGAGAGGCGGAGTTTGGTGACGAGATTCCGCCGGGTTGCGTAGCAGTGGTAGGCGGGGCAAGGGATTCGTCTCACAAGGCGACGAGTGGTTGGAACCTTTCCTCTCCTTCCCCTTCCCCTTCCCCTCCCAGGAAAGGCTGGGACCCGGCACCCGAGCTATTCCGTGGCCGCTGCGGCCTCAGCTCCAGCCGGGCCGGGGTACGGAGAGTCCAGACCGCTTCCAGGGCGGTGCGTACTGCGCCTGCGCCGGCTCCCACCTAAAAGAGGGTGTGGGAGGGGAGGGGGCGATGTCCCACCGGGATTGGGGCACGGGTTCGAGATATTGGAGGTCAGGAGAAGGGTTAGGAGTAAAGATGAAAAATGGAGCAAGGGAACAGGGATAGGGAGGAGTCGGGAGGTGAGAAAGGGACGCTGGAGGGTGGGTTGCGGGGGAGGTCCATTGGAGTAGGGTAGCCTTAAGTGCGGGAGGGGGTCTGGGCTGGCTGGAGGACAGGAAAGAAGGGACCTGGGGTTGCAACGTGGTATTTAAATGGGCAGTGTTGACGGGTTGAGAGGGGAGGAAGGGAATATTCTGGGGGCCAGCCTGGGCAGGGGTGGCGGAACCTGAACCCCCGCCCTCCAAGCGCCATAGCTTGGCTCCTCTCCCGTGCCTTGTCTTTGGCAGCCTTGTCTTCCTTCTCCATTCCTTCCCCCCCTCCGTGAAGGAATCTCACATTCCTTACATCCCTTCCTTGGGTTTGCAGCCAGGCCCTTCATGCAGACTTCACTCACCGGAAAGCCTTCCCCAACCCAGAACTCTGTGAAATTGGGGAGTGGGAAGGAGGGGGCTGGAGAAGAAGCAGAAAACTAAGAGAGGTGAGAGTGTTTTGCTTGAGGGACTGACAGGCATCTTCCCCATTCACAAACTGACTTCATTCCACCTAACAACAAGTGTGGCTATTAAGGAGCCACTGTTCATGGGGGATGGGCTGTGATAGTGACAGTCTAATCACTTCCTATACAGGTGGTTTTAGAGACTGACAATAGGACAAGAAACTGATAGTGTTGCTGGCTGATAGTTTCCCTCCAGATAGGAATGGGGTAGACTAGTGTTAGGGAATCTGAGTGATATGATAGTGGTACTACCCTGTGTGTCCAGCCGACTTTGTGGCTGGGCCTGGTTCCTAGTAATTAAAAAGGAACCAAGCTTCTTTCAAGCATTTCCTCACCTGCTTTCAGTACTCTTAAATTTATTTTGCATTCTATTACTACAAAACCTTACCTGAGACATAGCTGTATTCAGTATGTTTTCACATTTATTATGTCTCTGTTCTAGTACAACATATTAGGTAGATAAGGCAGGTATCTTCCCTACTTGTCGGGTGAAGACATTAAAAACTATAGAAGGGATACTTGGCTTGTTTAAAGTCATACAGTTGGTAGAGCTGGGACCACAACCGGTCTCCTGACTCCTGGTCCTCCTCTCAGTTGAAAATCCTGTTTTGTTCTGGCTAAGGAAGCATCAGAGTAAGATTGTTTTTTTTCCCCAGAGTGGGTAACAGTTTGCTTTCTGAGTCTGGAGCTTGTCAGTAGAAGACTGAGTATAGCCAACAGCAGTGGTTCGTGGAAGCATTTCGTGGAGTACAGGTACATATGTCAGGCTGTTGGGAGATAGGGTGTTGTCAAAATGGAAGCAGCATTATATTCTCCTTTGTGTTATGGATGAGGGAGAAACAACTCCCACCCCCAACCCCTCAAATAGAAAGTGGGTCTGGCATTGCACATTTATCTCTCTGTTAGTTTAAAAATGCCACGCTAAAACGTGTTGTGGCTGATGAGTATAGTAAACTAATCAGTGTGTGTGCCAGGCTCAGAAGATGAAATAATCTCAGTTTTATGTATAAAAATTATCATCATCCTATTCCTTTGTCATACAGCCCTTAATCTATTGATAGCCATGTGATGTTGACAAGAGGAGTTGGAATAGTTGCTATGCTCCTGTGTAGTATTGAGTAGATCTCTCAGCACCCTTCATCTGAAGCCTTGTCCCTCTTGGTTCCATTCTTTTAGTAATGAGAGTCTAGTCTGCCTAATCATACTGCTACCTCTAGTATTCCCAGTTGCCCACTCTGGAATAATTTCCTGTTTCACTGTCTCTTCATTAAAAAAAGAAAAAAAAATTTAGTGTTTATTTTTGAGAGAGAGAGAGACAGAGTGTGGGCAAGGGAGGGGCAGAGAGAGAGGGAGACACAGAATCCAAAGCAGGCTCCAGGCTCTGAGCTGTTAGCACAGAGCCTGATATGGGGCTCAAACCCATGAACCTCGAGATCATAACCTGAGCCGTTGGACACTTAACCCACTGAGCCACCCAAGTGCCCCCTGTGCACCCCCCCCCCACCTTTTTAATAAAGCCTGATACCCTCAGAAATATTTTCTGACTTGGGAAGTAGAATCACACCTGTATGAACATTCTTGAGTATCTTCTTATGAAATAGTGTTTTCCAGTTGGAGGGTGGGATTAGAATTCTTTTTACATGAATTCAGTAATTTATGTGAAAGCATTTGGGAAACATTTAAGCATCATACTGTGCATATAAGGTATCATTGATCTGTGCGTTGTATAGCCACAGATCTGGAATCATTGACATTATTTGTGGTTGTGTACACCGAGTAAGAGAATCTTTCTGTCTCAAACAGTGCTTCTTCTTTATATTTATTCTTGTCCCTTTCTCTGCCTCTCTCAGCTCTGTTTGAATCTCTTGGACTGTGTGTGTGTGTGATTTCTTAGCCAGTAACCTCCATCCTTAGAAGTTAGTGCTGTGTCCTCAGCTCTGAAACCTGTAGGCCTTAATGGAATTGTCTCCTCCTCCTCCTCAACCAACTGCCAGATCCAATCTGTCTAGTCTCACTGCCAAGTGGAGGTAGTTCCCCTGACTCACCTTTTTCTTCCTTGTTCCTATTAATAGAGTGCTCCTGATTGTGACATCACATCCATCCCCTTGGCGATGGAGCTTGTCACTAGGAAGGAAGACTCAGTCGGAGAATAGCCAACAAGATGGGTTACTGGGAGCGTCTCCTGAGTGGCACTGAGTGGAGGCATCAGGGGGTTGGAGCCTTGTGAACAGGGAGCCTACCCCCCAACACTTGGAAGGTAAAGAGCCTTGATTCAGAATCCCATTCCAGAATTCAGGTCTCTTCTCATCCTATCTGAGTTCCTTCTGCTTTTGAAAACCTGATTCTTGAAATTCTTCTGCATAAAGCTTTCTGTGATTAATCCACATCAGTCTGTTCTTTGCCTATTTATATCTTACAGTAACCTTTACTTGGAAAACTGCTTAGTAAATTTTATGTTTTTTTAATGTGTTTTATATCTTGCATATACTCACTCATTGGACTCAAGCCTACACCTAAGTTTGAGGACAAGGATTGTGTTTTCTGTATCTTTTACATGCCTCTTTTGGCAAGGGGGCTGTGTATAGAGGATGAAGATGAGATTTGGGGCAACCACACAAAGAGTGCTTGGTGCTGGTGACTAAGTGGGAGGTCCTTGCTGCCCTTTGAGGCCTAGTAGGCTTCCCTTCAAGTGTTAAGTACATTCTTGAATTGTGTGCCCTCTGGATTCTTTTGTAAATTGAACCAATTAAAATATGCTAAAGGAATTTTAATTTTGAAATCCTTTGTGGTGGGGTGCATGGCTCACTCAGTTAGTAGACCATGTGACTCTTGATCTCAGGGGACTCTTGATTGTGGGATCATGAGTTCAAGCCCCCTGTTGGGCATAGAGCTTACTAAAAAACTAAATAAATAAATCAACCAACCAACCCACCTACCCCCACTGTGGTAAATCTAGTATGGATCACAGCATTCTAGAATTAAACAGAACCTTTGGGACAATGTAGCCCATCCCCTCATCTCACAAGTGAGGAAATTGAGTTCCTCAGAAGTAATTTCTCTAAGAGGAGGAGTGACTTCAGTCTAAGGACTCTGCTGCTTAAAGAAAAAAATACCACTTCCTTTCATTGAAAAAGTCGAGAAAGTTGAGGTGTCTGGGTGGGCTCATTCGGTTAAATGTATGACTTTGGCTTAGGTCATGATGTCACGGTTGGTGGGTTCAAGTCCTGTATTTGGCTCTTTGCTGTCAGCGTGGAGTCCACTTCATATCCTCTGTCTCCCCCTCTTTGTGCTCCTCCCATATATGCGCTTTCTCTCTTTCTCAAAAATAAACAAACATTAAAAAAAAAAAAAGGCGGGGCACTTGGGTGACTCATTCGGTTAAGTATCCTTAACCATCTTCGGCTCAGGTCATGATCTCTCGGTTCACGAGTTTGAGCGGTTCACGAGTTTGAGCCCTGTTTCCAGCTTTGTGCTAACCGCTCAGAGCCTGGAGCGGCTTCGGATTCTGTGTCTCTCTTTCTGCCCCTCCCCCACTTGTGCTCTGTCTCTTTCTCTTTCTCCCTCTGAGAAATAAATAAACATTAGAAATTTTTTAAAAAGGGTCTGGGTGCACCTGGGTGGCTCAGTTGCTTTAGCAGTCTGACTCCGATTTCGGCTCAGGTCATGATCTCATCATTCATGAGTTCGAGCCCCACATTGGGCTCTGTGCTGACAGTGGAGCCTGCTTGGGATTCTCTCTCTCTCTCTCTCTCTCTCTCTCTCTCTTTCTGCTCCTCCCCTGGTCACATACTCTCTCTATCTCAAGTAAACTTAAAAAAAAAAAAAAAAAAAGTCAAGAGAGTTGCCTAAAAAGAGGAAGGTCAGTTAGTCATAAGGCACCTTGTATAATGTAATTACTCCTAATTATTTTTTCAATATTTTTTTCTTTTTTTAAATGTATAT